TTTTTTTTGAAAGATTTTTGCTATAGGGTGCATGTGCTCACCAGAAAGACACAGAGACAGAGAGACAGAAAGCAAAAAATCACCCCCCCGGGGGGGGATGGCCACACCGCAATCCCTTCTCTATTCTCCTCTCCAGATCCTGGGCACGCACACACATGCGCCAGGCATGATAAGCTACCGGGTCCGGGACTCAAATCGTGGTTGACTACAAGGGAGTCCAGCAACATAGCCATTATGCCAAATGCTGGTCCCTCATTTAATTATTTTAATTTGACCAGAAAGAGAGAGAGAAAGTGAGAAAGCAAGCCACCAGGTCTGGGACTCAAACTGTGGTTGGCGATGTGGGAGTGTCCAACACCTTAGCCACCACGCTATCCACTAGTCCCCCAGAAAGAAATGTCTAAAACAGAGGGGCAACACAGTACCCTAGCCACAGCACTGTGTGAAGATCATGTGGAATAGGATAGAAAGGGCTTAGCATGGTGTCTGGCACGTAGAAATTGCTCAGTAAAAGACGGCTATTATCATTATTCTAATCATCACCTTTTCCTACTTCAACAGCCTGGCCCCTACATAAAGCAGGGTCTGTTCCAGCCCAGCTCCAGGCGTGGGTCTCCCACAACCAGGCCCATTGTGTCAGCTGCCCTACTGGCCACGTGACCCCAGACAGAAGCCACAATAAACAGGATGCCTGGGCCCTGGGCACTGCCTTCCTTTGCCTTCAGGCACTTCCAGGTCTTCAAGAACCTAGCAGTCTTTCTTTTTGTTTTTCTTTTTTCTTGAGAGATTTTTGTTACAAGGCTCATGTGCTCACTGGAGAGTCAGGGAGACAGAAAGTGAGAAACCACACCCTAAAGGGGGGATGGCCACGCCGCAATCCCTTCTCCTCCATTCTTCTCTTGGGATTTTGGGCACGCACACACATGCTCCTGGTGTTAGTTTCAAGCTGCCAGGTCCAAGACTTGAACTGTGGTAGACTACGTGGGAGCCCAGAGATGTAACCATTATGCCATCTGCTGGTCCCCACAGCAGCCTTTCTTGACTGAGAAGCTGGAGCCAGAGGGAAGAGCGATGGTAGGAAGACCCCGCCCTGCTGGAAACAGAGCGACAAGCCTGATCCCGTGCAGCATTCATTCATGGCCTCTGGAATCGTTAGCAGCTTTCTGACCTACTTGGCCACACTGACCCCCTTCCAGCCAGCCTGGCTTCCTTCATGGGGTAGGCAGCAGGCTCTAGGCACAGGTCACCTTCAAACCTGTGCTCGGTCTGTTCCTGTTCAACTATGACCATCCACATTCAAGTGATCTTTCCACCTTCCGCTCTTCAATGCCGCCTCCCCTACCCGCAGGTGCACATCCGGGTGCTTCTTCAGGAAGCAGCTCCTGACCGCTCAGCCCAGTCTGTGAACTCCCCTCTACTTGCCTGGTGCTGATGGTGCCCATCTGAGACGTCATCCCTGACCTGCCAGGCTGCTCTGCCGTGGGCCCCTGCTGCCCCTGCCACAGCAGTCACCACTGTGCTGATGAGCTTGATGGGCCAGCCTCCTGGACAGACGGCCTGCCTGCAAGGACAGAACCAGGCCGGCTTGTTGGCACTGCATCCTTGGGCCTGGTCACTGGGTGGCTACAACTGCTGAGTGCTGAGGGTCCAACGCTGAGCAGGCCAGACAAGGTGCTTGCCCTCGGTGCACTGGCTCTGGAGGTAGGCGGACACCCACCCGAGGCACGCCCTTGGACAACAGGGAGCTGGGACCAGCATTCTAGTCCTGTGTACCTGTGGCTCTGGGTGCCCAAGAGGGACCTGCCCTGGGTTGAGGAGTCAGGCAGGCTCCTTAGGCATGACCCATAGGATGAGTCCTTCCTAACTGGTGGTGGGAAGAGAAGGGAAAGGCCTCCCGGGAAGGGCTGGACGTGTGCCCGCTGGAAGGACAGGGGATGCACGGGAACTGGCAGCACGCCCCAGGTCCTAGGCTGCTTGCTAAGTGAACCTGGGAAGCTCCGAGCACCTGGAGCGGGGCCTGACAGAGAAGTCTCCCTGGGGCCTGCAGAGGGCATGACCAAAGGCTCACAGGCTGTGATACACACAACGTCCAGGAGGCCAGGTGGGCCCTAGCATCCCCTGTTCCTGTGCCCAGGACACTGTCAGGCACCCACTGGCCACAGGGCAAGTGTGAATGAGAGTGAGCCACCATAGCCCGAGCCCAGTCAGCAGGTCACTGCTCTGCCCTCCCCCTACTCCGCAGGTGGAAGAAATGCCATCATGTTGGTCGCCAAGGTCACCAGAAGCCCCCAGATACCAACGGGGCAGATGGCACCATCCGCTAGCCTCCCTTTGGCAGTACACACCCTGCTGCTTGGGCTGGGCTAGGCTGGGCTGGGGGACGAAGGAGCCGCCCTCACCTTGGCACTGAGGCTGAGAGTCCCAGGGCTGGAACATCCTGTCACTTGTGCCCTGTCCAGCTGCAGGCCTGGCACCTGCCAGAGGCACCACCTCTACCTGCTCTGCCTCTTAGGGAATCCTCCTTGTCATGGCAGGCACCAGCCTGGGAATCTGGCAACTGGGGACAGGGGATTCTGAGTATGTCAGACCAGCACGTGAGGAGAGCCTGTCTTTTCCCATCTCTTTTCTGGCAGGTTCCCTAAAGCTGGATCCATCCTGAGCTGATGACATCCTGAGGGAGGGGCACGGGAGAGAAGAGAGAAAAACAGCCGCCGTCACACCGCCACCACGCCGCCTCCATGTTGGTGGCTTCGTGAGGTACTAGGCGCCTCATAGGCTCTATTTCAGTTTCTTCTTCAACAACAAAATCCATTTCCTAGTACCCTGTACTTGTAGCTAATTAGTCATTTGCATAACAATTTGACTGCTGACCCCTGCCCCCCAGCTCTAGGAGGACAGGAACTGTGCCTGCTTACACACGTGCACCCACGTGCACACGGACACACATGTGCATCCCCTCACACATATGCTCAGGGCTCAACCAGTGGTGCCTGGCATTTACTAGAACAAAGGTTTGTGCTCACTACAAACAACGTAGCACTAGGAGCTAGGGATGACTCCGCTTTCTGGTGAAGACCGAGGTGCACACAACTGAGAGGAATTGGCCTGAGGTCACTGAATGGGCCAGAGGGGTGCAAACTTGCCCCACACCCATACTTCTCACCCAACCCTTCAGTCTTGGTCCATCCATCCCACCGACAGGGAAGAGACACTGAGGTCCAGAGGAGGGAAGTCAGGACTCCGCCAGCGTCCTGACCCAGGGGACAGACAGGCTGGGGGAGAAGGAAGCTCTACGCCTTGGAGCAGCGCCCACACTGTGAAGCTTCGCCCAGGAGCTGGGGGAAACCCAAACAAATGCCCTATTTACAGAGGCTGGAAGCATTCCAGGAGATGTCATGGGTCAGCGCCTGGGGGTGGGAGGCTGCAGGGAGGGGATGCGGGACAGGGCTGGAAGTCTCCAGGGGAAAGAGGAGCAGATGAGGACCAGAAGCCACCTGGCTTGAAGTCTGTGGGGACAAAATCTGCAGGCAGGTCATGCCAGGAAGGTGCAGGGATGGAATGGGGGAGGACGGTGCATCACCACTAGGGGGCTGTTGGTGCCACCTGGTGGTCCTGGCCACTGGTCAGGCTGGGGATCAGACTGCCCGGGGTCCGCTCTGGCATGGATCATACGAGTACGAGCCCTGCCTCGTACTCCATATGCTTTGACTCACTTCCCTCAACACCCACACGAGGCAGGAGCGAGCCGACTCTGCAGCTGATGGATGAGGCAGCCGCGCCGAGCAGCTCAGGACTCTGGACTAGGTGTGTGCACAGATGGAGACCCACGTGTGTTGTCCTTAGTTCAAGCCCCAGTATGCCAAGCCTTGACGCGTGCGCTCACTGAAGCCACCGACAACCTAGCAGGCACACACCGCGCATGCTTGTTTCCCAGATGAAGAAACGGGGGCTCAGAGACGTACAGGGACTTGTTTCCGTCTCCCGGTAAGGGCCTTGCTCTAGAGCCCGGGCTCTTTTCATCATACTCTGGCAGGAATCCTTTCTCTCAGCCTCAGCTTTCCCTTTTTTTATTTTGAAGTTTTTGTCATAGGGCACGTTCGCTCGCTAGAGAGAAACAGAGAGACAGTGAGAAATCACCTCCCAGGGGGAATGGCCATGCCACAATCCCTTCTCCTCCAGTATTCTCTCAGGACGTGGGGCATGATTGTCCACTTGGTGCGATTTTCAAGCTGCTGGGTCCGGGACTTGACACATGTGTGGGTCATGTGGGATCCGGTGTCTTGACCTCCATGCCGTCTCAGCTCTCTCTCCTGTTGCATGGGCCTCCTTATAACTCTGAGTGTACTGGGCACTGAGCACAGGTGACCCAGTGTCCTGTGGGCCTATGTCACTTTTTTGGCCACAGGACTGGTAGGGCCCTTGTGACACCCGTGGGGTCTCCGTTACAGTGAATGATTGGCTGTGTGCAGGGGAAGGCACCTCAGCTCCCTGAGGTCTTCAGCCCATCTTTTCCAGCGTCCCTGTTAAGCTGGGTCCTTACTGGTCAATGTGTTGTGAATGGTGCCTGCTCATGGGTTGCTGGGGAGATGCTGGGAAGTACAGGCAGGACCCATACGGGCAGGAGGTGGCAGCCAATGACTCTGAAGGAGTGACGCTCCTAAAAGCAATGGTTGGAGAGACCCTCCGCTTATTGCTGAAGTGGGAAAGCAACTTTAGTGATTGAACCAGATTAAGATAATGATCCCAGGGACCAGTAGATGGTGTAAGGGTTACGCTGCTGGACTCTCATGCAGTTGACTGTGGTTTGAGTCCTGGACCCAGCAGCTTGAAACTCACATGTGTGTTTGTGTGCATGCCCAAGATCCAGAGACGAGAATGGAGGAGAAGGGACTGTGGCATGGGCATCCCCCCAGGAGGTGATTTCTTGCTTTCTGTCTCTCCGGCAAGCACACACACCCTATAGCAGAAATCTCCCTCTAAAAAAATTAAATGAAAAAAGACACTAATTTCAAAGAGACAACCAACCGAGGTCTCTAAACTCATATTTCAAGAACAGTTGGGGGTTGGAACCAGCAGTTAGGGTAATGGCTATGTTGCTGAACTCCCATGTAGTCGACCACGGTTTGAGTCCCAGACCTGGTGGCTTAAACTCACGCTGGGCGCGTGTGTGTGTGTGCCCAAGATCCCGAGAGGAGAATAGAGGAGAAGGGATTGTGGCATGGCCACCCACTGAGGGGTGATTTCTCACTTTCTGTCTCTCTGTCTCTCTCTGTCTTTCTGGCGAGCACATGCATCCTATAGCAAAAACCTCTCCAAAAAAAAAAAAAAAGAACAGTTGGGGGCCAGCAGATGGCATGCTGGACACTCCCACATGGCCAACCATGGTTTGAGTCCCGGACCTGATGGCTTGTTTTCTCACTTTCCTCTCTCTGACCAAATTGAAGTAAATGAATAAATAAATTAAATTAAATAACTGAGTATGTCAGACCAGCACGTGAGGAGAGCCTGTCTTTTCCCATCTCTTTTCTGGCAGGTTCCCTAAAGCTGGATCCATCCTGAGCTGATGACATCCTGAGGGAGGGGCACGGGAGAGAAGAGAGAAAAACAGCCGCCGTCACACCGCCACCACGCCGCCTCCATGTTGGTGGCTTCGTGAGGTACTAGGCGCCTCATAGGCTCTATTTCAGTTTCTTCTTCAACAACAAAATCCATTTCCTAGTACCCTGTACTTGTAGCTAATTAGTCATTTGCATAACAATTTGACTGCTGACCACTGCCCCCCAGCTCTAGGAAGACAGGAACTGTGCCTGCTTACACACGTGCACCCACGTGCACACGGACACACATGTGCATCCCCTCACACATATGCTCAGGGCTCAACCAGTGGTGCCTGGCATTTACTAGAACAAAGGTTTGTGCTCACTACAAACAACGTAGCACTAGGAGCTAGGGATGACTCCGCTTTCTGGTGAAGACCGAGGTGCACACAACTGAGAGGAATTGGCCTGAGGTCACTGAATGGGCCAGAGGGGTGCAAACTTGCCCCACACCCATACTTCTCACCCAACCCTTCAGTCTTGGTCCATCCATCCCACCGACAGGGAAGAGACACTGAGGTCCAGAGGAGGGAAGTCAGGACTCCGCCAGCGTCCTGACCCAGGGGACAGACAGGCTGGGGGAGAAGGAAGCTCTACGCCTTGGAGCAGCGCCCACACTGTGAAGCTTCGCCCAGGAGCTGGGGGAAACCCAAACAAATGCCCTATTTACAGAGGCTGGAAGCATTCCAGGAGATGTCATGGGTCAGCGCCTGGGGGTGGGAGGCTGCAGGGAGGGGATGCGGGACAGGGCTGGAAGTCTCCAGGGGAAAGAGGAGCAGATGAGGACCAGAAGCCACCTGGCTTGAAGTCTGTGGGGACAAAATCTGCAGGCAGGTCATGCCAGGAAGGTGCAGGGATGGAATGGGGGAGGACGGTGCATCACCACTAGGGGGCTGTTGGTGCCACCTGGTGGTCCTGGCCACTGGTCAGGCTGGGGATCAGACTGCCCGGGGTCCGCTCTGGCATGGATCATACGAGTACGAGCCCTGCCTCGTACTCCATATGCTTTGACTCACTTCCCTCAACACCCACACGAGGCAGGAGCGAGCCGACTCTGCAGCTGATGGATGAGGCAGCCGCGCCGAGCAGCTCAGGACTCTGGACTAGGTGTGTGCACAGATGGAGACCCACGTGTGTTGTCCTTAGTTCAAGCCCCAGTATGCCAAGCCTTGACGCGTGCGCTCACTGAAGCCACCGACAACCTAGCAGGCACACACCGCGCATGCTTGTTTCCCAGATGAAGAAACGGGGGCTCAGAGACGTACAGGGACTTGTTTCCGTCTCCCGGTAAGGGCCTTGCTCTAGAGCCCGGGCTCTTTTCATCATACTCTGGCAGGAATCCTTTCTCTCAGCCTCAGCTTTCCCTTTTTTTATTTTGAAGTTTTTGTCATAGGGCACGTTCGCTCGCTAGAGAGAAACAGAGAGACAGTGAGAAATCACCTCCCAGGGGGAATGGCCATGCCACAATCCCTTCTCCTCCAGTATTCTCTCAGGACGTGGGGCATGATTGTCCACTTGGTGCGATTTTCAAGCTGCTGGGTCCGGGACTTGACACATGTGTGGGTCATGTGGGATCCGGTGTCTTGACCTCCATGCCGTCTCAGCTCTCTCTCCTGTTGCATGGGCCTCCTTATAACTCTGAGTGTACTGGGCACTGAGCACAGGTGACCCAGTGTCCTGTGGGCCTATGTCACTTTTTTGGCCACAGGACTGGTAGGGCCCTTGTGACACCCGTGGGGTCTCCGTTACAGTGAATGATTGGCTGTGTGCAGGGGAAGGCACCTCAGCTCCCTGAGGTCTTCAGCCCATCTTTTCCAGCGTCCCTGTTAAGCTGGGTCCTTACTGGTCAATGTGTTGTGAATGGTGCCTGCTCATGGGTTGCTGGGGAGATGCTGGGAAGTACAGGCAGGACCCATACGGGCAGGAGGTGGCAGCCAATGACTCTGAAGGAGTGACGCTCCTAAAAGCAATGGTTGGAGAGACCCTCCGCTTATTGCTGAAGTGGGAAAGCAACTTTAGTGATTGAACCAGATTAAGATAATGATCCCAGGGACCAGTAGATGGTGTAAGGGTTACGCTGCTGGACTCTCATGCAGTTGACTGTGGTTTGAGTCCTGGACCCAGCAGCTTGAAACTCACATGTGTGTTTGTGTGCATGCCCAAGATCCAGAGACGAGAATGGAGGAGAAGGGACTGTGGCATGGGCATCCCCCCAGGAGGTGATTTCTTGCTTTCTGTCTCTCCGGCAAGCACACAGACCCTATAGCAGAAATCTCCCTCTAAAAAAATTAAATGAAAAAAGACACTAATTTCAAAGAGACAACCAACCGAGGTCTCTAAACTCATATTTCAAGAACAGTTGGGGGTTGGAACCAGCAGTTAGGGTAATGGCTATGTTGCTGAACTCCCATGTAGTCGACCACGGTTTGAGTCCCAGACCTGGTGGCTTAAACTCACGCTGGGCGCGTGTGTGTGTGTGCCCAAGATCCCGAGAGGAGAATAGAGGAGAAGGGATTGTGGCATGGCCACCCCAAAAAAAAAAAAAAGAACAGTTGGGGGCCAGCAGATGGCATGCTGGACACTCCCACATGGCCAACCATGGTTTGAGTCCCGGACCTGATGGCTTGTTTTCTCACTTTCCTCTCTCTGACCAAATTGAAGTAAATGAATAAATAAATTAAATTAAATAAATAATTCTAGAAAAAGAAAAAAATAATAGCTATGGTTCATGAAAAAATCTTGGTGCCAAGAGCAGCCTCCTGCCTAGCGAGGGGCCCCAAAATGTGTCTGCAAAGTCTTGGTAGCACTAACGATATCAAGAACTGTTCTTTACCTTTCAGGGAGTTTTAGAGTACCCCTAATTCTTCCACAGTCTGTATCTCATCTCATGCTCCTAGGAGCCTTCAGTTAGTGGTAGTGGGGAAGCCATTATTAGTGAACAGCAAGGAAAACTGGGGCCCAGAGAGGGATAGGGTCTTGCCCAAGTTCACACAGCAAGCCAGTAGCAGAGTTGGGGCCTGACCCACATCCTCAGGTGCCATTCAGGTGCTCTACCACGGCGGCCTGCTCTGACATGCTGGTGCTGAGCTTTTAAGTGCCTTTACCTTTCATTTTCAAATCTCTGGCCCAGAGCTCCTGCCCAGCCCATGACCCAGGCCTGATGATAGGGAAAGCTTACGACTCGGCCTATGACCTTACCCCATGATCTGGCCTATGCCCTTACCCTGTGACCCGGCCCTGATAGGGGAGAGGAGGATTGGCCATGTTCTGCTCCCTGCCAGGCAGGCTGGAAGATGTCAGCATCAGCAGGGCCCTTCTAGGGTCATGATCTCCATCCACAGATTAGCCATGCACACCCCAGCCGCACCTGGAGGCCCAGACACACTGCCCTTCTCAACCTGGCTGCTCCAAGGCACATTCATTTCAACACCATCATTTTGCCTATTTCAAACAGCAGAATGGGGATTTGCTGGGCTCTTTATAAAAGGCCCTTATGGGGTCAGCTGGTAGCATGGTGGTTAAAGCAGCTGGATTCCACAAGGCCAACCGTGTGGTTCCAGATCTGGCAGCCTGAAAATCACATCGGGTTGTGTGCATGCATGTCCAAAACCTCAAGAGGAGGATGGAGGAGAAGGGAGTGCAGCATGGCCATCCCTGGGAAATGTTCTCTCATGTTCTCTTCCCCTTCCTCTCTGCCTCTGGTGAGCACATGCATCCTATAGCAAAAAATTTAAAAAACAAAAAGGGTCACAGATCCAGACACCTTAACCTGGCAGAGATCCAGGTCCAGGTATCTAGATCTCACATGGCTGACTGCATGGTTCGAACCCTGGACCTAGCAACCCAGTAGCTTGAAAAACATGCTGGGTGCATGAATGGAGAAGGGATTGTGGTGTGACCATCTCCCCTCCAAGAGGGAGGTGCTTTCTCAATTTTCCTCTCTCTCTGTCTCTGGCAAGCACAACAACAACGACAAAATAGAGACCTTATCACCTTCCACTGCTGTCAGAAAAGTCAGGGCCAAGCTACCACCCTCCCTCTAGGATACATAATCACTGTTACCTCGGAGGGTGTCAGGAAGCTCCTGCCTTGTCTCCCCCAGTATTCCCCCAAACCCTACTAGCTCGAGGAGGCAGCCAGAACTGGCGACGCCACCAGTTGGTGCTAAAAAGAAGGCTCTGAGGCAGACACACATGCAAACGGTTCCTTAGTGTCACATCACCCTCATTATCATGACTGCCATGTAGTGAGTACTTAATTACACGCTGACACTGCATTAAACACTGAACGCTGCGTGATCTCGCTGAACTCAACGGTACCATGCTATGGGAAAGAAGACTGAGGTGCCTTGGTCCTACGCTGACAGCCAGGAAGCAGTGGCGAGACTTGATTTCACCATAGTCTCTACGGCCATCCTTACTGGTGTTGATCCCATCCATGGTCATTTCAAAGATGGAAAAGGGGCACTTACAACACAATGCCAGAGCACAAAGGCCATCTGTTGTCTAAAACAAATCTGTATTTTCCCCAACCTCCAGATACTTCAACAAACACAGTTCTGAAAGGTGCCCAGTTAGAGCCCCTGTGACCCTGCATCACACGGACAGACCCTGACATCCTCTCCACCTTATCTGGTCCCCAGTGTTCTCCGACTTCTTTGCCAACCACTGTCCTCCTTCACTGCTTGGTGCCCCGTCCTCTTGCCCTGTCCTAAAGTCACCAGGCATAAAACCTCAGGACCTGTGCACTTGCTCTCGAATGCCCGGCCAACAGAGAGCTGCGTGGCTTGCTCTCTCAACCATCTCTGCTCAAAAAGCCACCTTAGTAGAGACCTTACCTGGCCACCCCATAAAAAGATGACCCTATTCTCTAGTCCTTCCTGCTTTAGTCTTCTCCAAGGCACCTCTTACCACCCTACATATTACATGTTTATTATCTGCTGAATGAACAAATGAGCCAGGGAGGCCCCCTCACCTCTGGCAACCACCTCCTCCTGTGACATTTCCAAAGCTGTCTTCCACGCTCAATATAACCAGTTTCAAGATTTACAAGAAACAGTTTGTGGGAAAGATCAGACAGGAGGATTTTCTAGAAAAATCTAGTAGCCCCCTCCGCTTTAAAAAACAAACACACCAACAGGCACAAGCAAAGACTTCCTGACAAACTCGGGAAACCCTTGACTCCGTAGGTCAAAAAGCAGCCAAGATAAGTTCCACCTACAGAGATAGCTGCAGTGGCCAGCACAGTCAGTTTCATGTCTAACTCACCCAGCAGGCTCCCTGGGCCCTTGGGTTGCAACCCCACCCAGCCCTTTCCCACCCTGTTGGGGTTCCCTGTACCCTGTCATCCCTTTTAGGAACTGATCCAGAATCCGAGCCATCCTTGAGCTTTTAAGCACTGCTAAGGGGGAAACTTAAACTCATCCAACAGGTAGGAGGGGCAGAGGCTGGCTCTTTCAGTCCTATATTGATCCCCCATCTTGTAGGGGCATGCGACAGGGTGTCGTTTTCCCTCCGGAGGAAAGGTGCTCAGTTTTAAAGGCACATTTGTCAGACCCAGAGGCAGGCATGGAGAAGGAAGCCCTCCCACCATTGCCGAGATAGCTCTCTGCAAGCGGTTGCAGCGACGATGCTTAGGCCCCGGAGGGGAGGAGGAGGACGCAGGTACATCCCTCGGTCTGGGGTCCCGGACCTACCCTGGGATGGGGCTGCCGGCAGCGATGGCAATCAGGCGGGATGCTTCGTAGGCGAGGAGAATCGGAGGACCGGGCCCGGGAGAATCCGGGGCCAGAACGCCTCAGGAGGCTGCGGATCTCGTCAGGCTAGGGCCGGGGTCTGGGGGAGTCGAGGGTCGGCGAGACGGAGTTTGGGACCCAGGGGACTGGAGCCCCGGGCAGGAGGAGGTCGCGACAGCGACCCCGTGGCCGTTACCTTGCCCTTCGGGCTGCCGGCGGGGCTGAGG